CCCTCCCTATGTACAAAAGCTTTATTTTCATTTTTTTCTGCTATTTTCACTTTTTTTCTTGTCCCTTCCTGGTATTACTTTTTAAAAAACTTTCACTCTGAAATTTGAATGATTACATTAGAACATTTTTTAAAACTATCTATTTGTATTCTTTTGTGAACTATGTATTTTTTATATGTCTACTTTTCATTCTGAGGAAGTTTTCTTACTAATATGAAAGAATTCTTTGTGCATTACAAATCTCTTGTGACACTGAAACATGTTTACCAACAGGATTTGAAAACACCTTGTCAGCTACCCAGCACCCAATAAAAACCTCAAAATATTTTTTTAAAAGGTACAGATGTACTGTGACACAAATTATACCTTTCTGTGCAACTGTCCAATACATGAACAAATCCACAAGCTTTAAGGGCAGTAAAATGAATAATGCAGTGCAATGTAGGTTCCTATGAAGCACTCTTGAAAATTTCAAGTACAGTAATACTTATAATTTGTTTTATAGTATATCATTCCTAAACTATTCAATTTCTTTCCAGCTGAAGCACTCGAAGGTGCTTCAAGGACTAAATGATCTGATTAACCCTTTAGTACCAAAGGCTTCACAGCGTTTGCTGTCCTGTACATATCAAGTTTCCACTGACATTTAAAGGTCCCAATTCACTACCAAAGAAAGGATTAATCTGTCCTTGGTTTATCCAAATGACCAAATAATAAGATTTAAGTGATAACCAGCTGTAGGATATGTCCTTATTAAATTTGATAGGATATTTTAAAAGCCAAGTAATGTAATGAAGTTTGCAAAGTGATTTAGATTAAACAGGTTTGACTGCTCAATTTGGAAGAAATTCAGTGCTTAGGTATGGGCATGAAGGCAATTTTTAAACATTAGGCTTTGAATGTTGCTGACCAGAAAGCTGAGATATTACATGATCATGATATTGTTTTAGCCATTTTTATTACTCATAAATACGTACTTATTTTAGCAGTGTGATTTCCCTTTCCCCCCAAGTCCCAACCTTCTCAAGGAGCTGTTTCCATGACTTACAACACAGGATGGAGGGAACGCAGTTCTTGGGGTACTGATATTAGAACGTGTATGTCTCAGAAACTCAGCCAGAAAGCCTATCCAGGACTACAGAGGGTCCACTCTGTACAAGGACTGCTCTGTCCCATTAGCCAAGAATGTGTAAGTGAAGATTTCAGGACTTAGGAATGCACACAATGATAGGAAAACCAGCCTGCATTTAGTCACTTCACGCATCCTATATCTTCTTTCTGCTTTCACTTTGTTAGAAATGATATGTCTTTTGCTATACAAAGAAATACAGGTAAGTCAGGTTTACCATGCAAATCCATCACTTGTATGCCTTTGTTTTGCCTATCTTCTCTCTGGAGCCATTGTGTTTGTCTGTGCAAGGACTGAAGGAATGTTACAGATGCTAAATGATTACACTTGACCATGATACTTCATACCTGCAATGTGTAAAACTTTGCACATTCACTGAGTCAACTAAGTGAATATGTATATACAGAAAATTCATGGATAAAATTCATATATGTGAAATTCATATATACACACACAGAATTTTCATAAAGAGAATACTATTGTATTAGAGCAGTGTCTCTCATAACCCAGTAGCACGTGGTGAAATCAACTAGTGGTTGTGATCACTATTAAAAAGATGAAAACAACAGAAAAGAGAAATTGTTCATACTAAGAAAACACATTGTTTTATGCATGTAACGAGTTAACATGAAAAATGTATTTCTTGTGGTGGTTTGTGGTCAAAACAGTTTTAAAAGCACATTTTAAGTGTGTAGTAATGTGGTAGAATTCTTAGCATTCTCTCACTCCAGAGGTTACAGATATTCTTGCTTTTTACTCACTGTGCAAGTGTTAACTGAGCAACTGCTGTATGTTGGTTGGATACCAGGTGTTGGGGGAGTTAGAAAAAGGCAAAATTACTTCTGTTAATTTTTTTACCTGTTACATAGTTGTAAGATGTTAAGTAAAAGCTTAAAAACAAATTAACGCTGTATCAGCTACAAATGATCTACAACTGCCTCTTGATGACCATGAAATTCTAAGTAGAATGTGCCAAACATCCCCAAAAGTAAATCCTTCACAGAATGTTACATTTCTTATTAGTACTTGGAAAGAAATCTAGTATAAAATCTGTAGTTAGGACACAAATTCTCCAAGAATATATTTCTTTTCATTTACTTGCTCACTAATAATTTTCTTTCCTAGGCTTTTTGGCAAGAAAATGATTTTTCAGCAAACAAGATTTGGGGTCTTGCTCCAAAACTGTTCTTCAGAATTTTTCTCTGGAATGACAAATACATTTTACTTTTTAAATGTTCTTTTCCCTTCAAGCTTTAGTCAAGCAACCAATATAAGAAATTAGGCAGAAGACTGAAATGAGATGTTATAGATTTTACAAAATAGTAAAATCCTATTTAAAATATTGCCCCTTTCCCCAAGAAAACAGCCAATCTACTGTTCTGGTGCTTGATATAAACCACAAAATAATCAAGTGACTTTCACTTCTCTTGGTATTCAAATCTCTAATACTGAGCATTTGCATCAAATATTACATTGTAATTATAGTTTTTCTCAACTCTTCTCCCAACCCAAATTCTTTTAAATGGCATGTAACATGTTTTGAGATGACATTCCAATTTAGAAATACATCTGACATGTTATTCTCTGAGGAAATAATTTTTGATATGTAATAATTCTGTGCTTTATAATAGCATAGCCTTTACAAATAACACAAAGAATGATTTTTCTTTTCTCTGATCTTGATAGATTAAAAATACTACATATATGTGTTACGGATTCTGGTGAGCACCTGAAACTTCCAAAATAAGATCAATCATACTACCTCTGTATATACTTTTAGCAGTGAAAGTCCAAGTTTTCTTTTTTCTAGTTGTGTTTTTAAGTTTAAATGTTATTTAAAACCATTTTGGCTCATTATTACATTAATTCTTGTTAATTAGGCTGGTAATAGAAGTCTCACCCACATGTTCTAGGTACAGTATATACAACACTGGAAAATAAACTCAAATAATTAGGTAATAGGTTGACAGTTGTACTGGACAAACATTTTGTGACAAAAGGAAACTTTTCAGTCCAGATAATCATTTGGCTATGGTCAGCATATGCTGGAGTTAGCTTGTATCTTTTTATTCTGTATTCAGTGATGTCATGTCAATAGCTTGAAACTGGTCATAGTAGGAGTATTTAAACTGTAGAAATTGGCAAAAGCTGCAAATCAGTGGTTCCTTCCCCATTTTGAAGAGTCTCTGAATTTTCCAGCATATCACTAGCAATAGCTATTATTCTCTTAAAATGTAATTCAATTCTACATTGTTCATAAGCTTATTTGAAGATCTAAATGGTGTTTGCTGTGTAAATCTGTCTTTTGGAAAAAGACTTAGACATTTCACATTTTTTTGTAGTACTGGAAATGTTACACTTTCTCATTTGTTTATACTACTGGAAATGTTACACTTTCATTGTGAAGGGATAACTAGGGATAACTATGTGAGTTTCTTATCAGATGTGTATTCTGTTCAAAATAAACTGCTTAAAATGGGGGGGGTTTAAATCTAAGAAGATATTCCACTTACAATTAATTTCAAGCTTATGAAGCAAAATATTCCAAAAGAAATGATCTTGCCAGAAATGTCTAGGATTTACTAAAAGGTTAATTAAAATTTTGCAAAGTATGAAATAAACAATTTATTAGATGAACTCATTTATTTGACATATTAAATTATGCAAAGAAAAATATTTGCAACTGCATAAAAAGAATCACATTCTCATACTACTCGAACACCCAGCAGTGGTAAAAATAACGAATAGACCCCAGGATTTAATGCAAAAACACTCTGTACAGAAAAGTTTCAGGCTTCTAACTTCACTGAATCCAAAACTAAACGTGCTTCTTTATATTCTTCAGCTTCTTCCAAATCTTTTTCACTTTCCTGAAATAAAATGTAATGAAAATTAGGTTTATTCTTCTGAAATGTCAAAACTTTGCTAATGACAGAAATATTACAAACTATTAATGGAAATAACTCTAGAATTCCTAGGAGTCCAAGCCTCTTCTAAATATACCACCATTCTGTTACTTCATTAGAGGGGAAAGGAAGAAATTTTTGTTTCTTCCTTCTTTGTTTCAGGTTTTGTTTCCCACTGTATATTTTCATAAAATATATTCTTATAATGAATGAATCACTGAAAATAGTTAAATAAAAAGCCTCAAAAATTGAAAAATTTTTATTCTCCTTTTGTCAATATATCATCACCATACAAAAAAGATTATTTATTTATTTATTTATTTATTTATTTATTTATTTTTTGGTACTGGGGATTGAACTCGGGAGCTTGTGCTTGTGAGGCAGGCACCAGAACCACTGAGCTAAATCCCCAGCCCTAGAAAGATTATTATTAATAAAAGGATTTACTACTGTGTTGCAAATATGACAACACAGGTGAAAATAATGCTCCAACTATTCACAATTTCAAAGGTGACCACACCAGTTGAAAAAAAAAATCTTTGAATTAGAAAAATGAATTACTGGGCCGGAGATTTAGCTCAGTGGTGCCACTTGCCCCTCAAATGCAAGGTTCTGAGTTCGATCCTCAGTACCAAAGGAAAAATAAAAGGAAAAGTGAATTATCTATTTGTTAATGAGTATTACATATCCTACATGAAAAGAAACAAAATACTAACCTCTTTCATTTTCTGATATTGAGTTTTTCCACGATACTGATATATAGGAAACTTTAATATTTTGTGACGGTAACAGACAAATAATATCTAAATTATTATACATAGAAAATTTTTACTTTTAAATCAAATTATGGTTATAATTTAATTTTACAGTTTCAAATGAAATTATAATTCAAGTCAAGTCAATAAAAGATGGAGATATATAGTTATAGAGAAGAGGGAATAAAGTATGTATTTAATATGAAAATTTAAAACCAAAAGACTGAGAATTTGCTTAACTCAGACAACAGATAAAGAAGTTCTTAAACCTGTATATTATACTTTAAACATGTCTCCATATTCTGTTAGTATATTTGAACTCTCTGGGGGTAGTTATTGTTGAATATATATCCTCCTATACACAAATATACCATCCAAAAACATTTATTTTTTTCAAACAATTCACATTATTTTCTCAGGTATTACATTCATGAAAGGAAAGAAATAGCGTTTAAATTGTTAAGAAATACAAATGGTGCTTCCTATATAGTATTTTAACTCAATAATTATCTCCTATCTTCTGTTCCAAAACCTGGCTTCTTTTTTGCTAACAATTATCTTGCCTTTAAGTTTTTTATTGATAACTATGGAATTCTGTGTCAAAATTGAAGACTATGGAATTCTGTGTCAAAATCACTGTAAAATGGAATACTTTTCTCTTTTTCTTCTACAGATGTAGTACTAATTTGGTGAGAAAAAAAATCCCATTGTCTTTCAATGACTACATATGATCTACAAAAAAGCCTTATTATCTTTGTCATCTAGGGAAATGACTACGAATCAGGAAAAAACAGCTATGTACCTCCTAAATAATATTAGCTTAAGAAATACAAACATAAAATAAGATTAGTAAAGGAACTGTTGGAGTTCATCAACCATCAAATGGCAACAACAATGGCTTATATAAAATACTATGATTTTTTTCTATTAAGAAGAAATAGCTTTTATTTATAGCTAGAATCATTTATAACCTGAGTTAATCATTGTATCACAAACCATTTATACAACTAGGTATGATAATAGTGTAATCTACCCCCAGGTTCTTATAGCTGCTGCCCACATTATCTTTATTTCCTCCTCTTTCTCAAATTGACTTAGACTAGATCCTGAAAGAATTTCAGATCTTTTAATAAGGGTCCAAATTCATTTGAAACATTGGATCCTTTTAATTTTCAAATAGTTAACTCACCCATAATTTCAAAAAAACCAAGTAAGATACTGCTGAACAATACCAGTACTATGAAAACCTGCTTATCACAATTCAAAGTTTAACTAAGTTTAGTAAGTAGAATAAACATGCTAGAAAACTATTTTTACTGGGGATCACAACTCAAAACATTCACACTCCATTAATTATTTAAAAGTATACTGGTATACAGGGTAAGTGAATTAAAAATGTCTCTAGTTAAGTATTAAATATTTAAATTTTTTTACTCTATGTATTAGTTTGAAAAATTTAAACATAAGACAGAGAAATCTTTACTTACTAATATTTGCTGAAGATCAGTATAAGCTGCCTCTAACCTGCGCTGGCAATCTGGGATCATCATCCGGGACTCTTGCAGGATCTCTGCCTACAGAGATGATGGAATGTATATGTGTTTAGCTCACACCTTGGTAAATACCTAATAATTAAATGGTTCAATATTTAAATTTAAATTGTGTTTATTAGAAGTCAGACTATGCTACTGTAAAATACAAAGTACAAGTTTTAGAACTTGTAATAAAGTTTTTTGTTCTTTGGGTAACCATCTTCTCATGGTAAGTGAAAATTAACTGGAAAAACTTTTCATAGAGCATTTATTTAAAGAGGTCATTTAAAATAAACTATTTCCCCTGCTGTCACAAAGCACCTTTATACAAAATGGGATCAGCTGGTTATATAAATATCTCCTGCATCTTTTGAGTAATAAAGAAAAACAGTGTTCAGATAATATCACATGGAGATAATTACTGCATGAAAAAAGTTATTGAGTTATTGATCACATCGTGTGCACACTGCAGGAGGTTCTCACTGAAAGACAGAGGTAAAGCAAAGACCAGCAGGTTTCATATTTTTGATGCTTATCATGCATAAAAAGTTATTACTTATCCTTGTGCTTCATTTTAGAAGAGAGATTATTCTCACCATGCAGTTTGAGCCAAATTACCAATGTGGCACCCCTCTGAATCTGAACTTCTTGCCTATTTCTCTTGAAGACAAACATTACAGAATTAAACACAGCAATATTTATATAATCTAGAAGATAATTTTGGACTTAAAATCCACTATTCAAAGCTGGACTGTAACATATCAAATCATAAAAGAAAAAATTGAATCAATGACTGGGAAACCCAATCAGTAAGTTAGTGTCAGACATTGCACAGAAGATAAGACTTTTTCTTAAGGTAATAGGAAGCTTGATTTCCTTAAACTAGTCTCAGAAAGAAACACAGATATCTTAATATTTATTTCTAAAGAACAATGTTTTATCAAATACTTTCTGAGAAATAAGTACAACATTTGAATATTTACTAAGATTAGGTAGCACATACAAAATAAAAAGGAAAGATATAATTTAATGGTAATAATATGCAATACTGTATTTTAATAGAAACCTTAATAACTATCAGTATGTTCATCCCTTCCCCAATAGTTTTGTTAGAGATCACACTGTAAGTAAAAATCAGAATTATGGTGTACAAAGATGTTCTCTACCCACATTTATTCTCTCAATGCAAATATATTGCTGAACTCAAAACTCTTACTAATAAGGCACAGGGTGACATTTTCAAACACAGGATTGTGGCTTTGCTTTCAGAGCTTATCATGCTATGCCAAGATATTTAATCACTGGCATTAACTTGTTTTTACATATCTGGTTAGTTCAAATACATGTGAAAAATCAGTAACAGGAACACTTCAGATTTCCTCTCCTATGGAATTCCTTCAGAATAACATATAAATTTAATAAGATGAAAAGTAATACAAATAATTAGGTCAAACCCATGGTAAGTCAAATGAATTATTTATAAAATATTTTGGAAAACTTTAGTGTTACTGAAATGAATCTTTTTTTTTCTTTTGGTACTGGAGATCGAACTCGGACCTTGCACTTGCAAGGCAGGTGGCAGAACCACTGAGCTAAATCCTGGGCCCTACTGAAATGAATCTTAAACAATGCTCTCCAAAATAACTTCTATTCATTATAATTCTGTTATTACAAAATAAGCATCTTTAGTTTATCAAAATGAAATTCTGACTTATGCAGGGACAAAGTTCAGTCTCTAAGAGCTACTGAATTTATTCAGCTAAGTTTACACTGAGTTCTCTGTATCCACATGTTCTGCATCTGCAGATTCAACAACAATGGACTGAAAATAATTTTTAAAAAACTGCACCTAGGATCCAAACCACCCTGACCTACAGAGTGAGACTCTGTCTCAAAACACCAAAAAAACCCCACAAAAAAACCCCAAACTAATAAAACTGCATCTGTACTGAACATGTGCATACTTTTTCCCTTGTCATTATTTCCTAAACAACACAGCATAAAAAGCACTGACATAGCATTACACTGTATTAGGCCATATAAACAACAAGTATCCACAGATTCTGGTATCTGCTGGAGGGTCCTAGAGCCAGTCCCTCACAGATACTGAGGGACTGCATATCTGCAAGAGGCCAGCATAGAGAATGAATACAAAGATAAAACAGAGGTATGAAAATAAACATTTGACACTGCTTCAAGAAGACCATGCCACAGAAAGCCAAAGAAACACAGTGATGAGAGTTATGATTTGGGTACAATAAATCACACCTCCATCAAAGCTACAAACCATACCCTTTTTTTGGTAGCAATGAATTAAAAGAGACAAGAATAACTTAAAAAGACAGCATGAGGTGTGGGATGAAGACAAATACCTAAACTTAACTAAATGTACATTATCTTTCCAAGTTCCTCTCTTGGGAGGTAGGCACTCAAATGGTGTCTCTCATTAAAATATCTGCATAAACTGTCAGTTTATTCTAATGTTGGCTATGCTAAGTCTGAGGTAAAAAAAAGGATCTTGGCATGGGTTGGGAAGTATAACAAACCTTAAAGGAACAAAAAGGATGCAGTCTCACTGATACCTAATTGTTTTTAAAATAAGTTATGGCTGGAAGGGACTTCCAGGCTGCCATCCATCCCGCCCCTCCTGGCCCAGAGGTAGGGACGTCTGAGCCGCCGTCCCACTGCTCCTGGTCCAGAGGAAGGGGCTGCCAGGCCACCATCGCTCCTGCCGCTCCCAGCCCAGAGGAAGGGGCTGCCGGGCCACCATCACTCCTGCTGCTCCCAGCCGAGAGGAAAGGGCTTTTGGGCTGCTGTCTGTCCTGCTGCTCCCGGCCCAGAGGAAGGGGCTTCCGGGCTGCCATCCATTCCCCCACTCCTGGCCCAGAGGAAGGGTCTTCCGGGCCACCATCTCTACCGCTGCTCCTGGCCCCTGTCCCACCTCTCCCAGCTCAGAGGAGGTGAGCTGTGCAGATGCCAACAGCAACCTCCTGCCCCCCAGGTGAAATGAGAAAACACATAAATAAGTCTCAAAACCAGACTTCCAGATCACCTACAGCAACCCCAAAGGGAAATGAGATGGAACA